GGGTCAGCCTGAAACTGAAGATGGTTTTCTGTGAACTGCAGCCCCCCAAAACTAAGCACCATTCCCTGCATAAGTCCATGGACACCAGCTGCCACGAGACCCTTGCATCCTCGTTTCTGGAGAGTGAGCTTCCACAGGTCTGAGAGCTGCAAGACCTGGGTGACGCTGGTCAGCTTTGCTGGCCACAGGTTCTCTGCGTGCATGGTCGCGTGGCCACTGAAGCAGTGGTCAGCATAGTTCAAGCTGGCTTCCATTTTCTCTCTGTCCTCACCACTGATGAGTGGATCCAGCAGAGGAGCTGGCATGCTCGACAGCACGTAGTAGAGGGTCATGTTAACAGTCTCACTGGATGGTGTATGCGCATCTGTGATCTTTCTCATTTCAACCCCTGTAGTAAAAGAAAACAGCCACAAGTCACAGGATCACACATGAGTATGACATTAACTAGGAGAAAATCAAACGTGCACCTTGCTCAACACACAGGGGTTCTTTATAATCACAGAATGGTTTGGGTTGGAAAGGACCTTAAGCTCATCCAGTTCCAACCCCCCTGCCATGGGCAGGGACACCTCACACTAAACCATGGCACCCAAGGCTCTGTTTAACATGGCCTTGAACACCACCAGGGATGGAGCATTCACAACTCCCCTGGGCAACCCATTCCAGTGCCTCACCACCCTTACAGTAAAGAACTTCCTCCTTATATCCAATCAAAACTTCCCCTGTTCAAATTTGAACCTGTTACCCCTTGTCCTATCACTACAGTCCCTAATGTCTAATAAATAATGTCTAAGAAACCTTTGTCTACGACACACTGAAGTGAAACATTTCCTTTTATTTTCCTAAGATGCTTTCTCTGCTGCTTGGAGTTTGAAAGCCAAGCTCTCACTAAAGGCAAAGGCAGTTTGATAAACAGATGCCTTATGGAGCTGTCACCGTAACTGTACAAGAATGACCCATCAAAGGAACATCTATCTTTATACTAGCTAGCTATAAACCAGCAAGTCCTACGTTAGTTGGGCAGCTATTCCGTTATGCAAGGCCACTACAATGAACAAATCTGTCTTTTATACTGCCACTGTTTCCAACCAGCATTCTGGGCACATCAGTAAAGTTCCTGAAGATGTGAAAGCCAGCACATCCAAATTAGGATTAGAAATGTTCTTCTCTAACTTTCTTTACGATGTAGGGAATGTCTTCTGTAAAGTATGGGTTCCAAATTAGGAGTGCTATTTTATTATCCCACAACTTGCATCAAGAGAAACCTGTCAGGAAGAGCAGAGCCTCTGGAGACCGTACAGTAACCAGTCTCTGAGCTTTCAGCTGCCGTCTAAAGCAACCTCTAAGTAAGTTAAGTATCACTTTCCTTACCTGAAATAAACAGGTCAGACCAGGTCTGTTGGTGCTCCTGGAAAAGATCTTCCACCCCCATCTGCATCACCTCCAGCATCTCTTTCTTGGCCGACTCCCTCAGCTTGCTGAAGGTCTCCTCCAGCCTGGAGACCTCGATGGGCTCTGAGGTGTACACCACCGAGAGCACGGTTTCATCAAAGTGGGATTTGGGTGCAACCTGCACCCGGCTCACGAGCTTCTTGGCAGCCACCACCATAAGCACCACCTTGGGGCTCCCGGGCAGCAGCAGGCGACCGGAGGAGAGCAGGAACTGCCGCTCCTCCGCCTTCTCCAGGCTGGTGGCGAAGCGGCTGCCCAGCGACGGGGCAGAAGCCGGGGCCGAGGCCTCGAAGGCAGCCACCCTCTCGGTGGGGTTGGCAATGCGGATGCGCTGCAGGTAGAGGTGCGGCCGGCTCCGGTGGGCCACCACCTCCTCCCGCACCGTCACGCAGTCCCCGGCGCCCGACCCGGGCCCTGTCTGGACGCACCGCACCCGCCGCACGGCGCCGTCCCGCAGCGCCGCCAGCGCCGCCCGCGCTTCGCCGCGGCCCCCCAGCGCCCTCAGCCGCACCAGCGCCGGATACTCGGTGGCGAGCGCCGGGCCGCCGCCGGAACCCGCCGCCGACACCCAGAGGCGGCCGGCGGCCACGTCCAGCAGCAGGAAGCCGTTACCCGCCAGCGCCAGACCCGGCCCCGTCCCCGGCCCGTCCTCCCCCACCGCCTCCTCCGGCAGCGGCAGCGCATCGCCGCGCTCGGCCTGCGCCCGCCAGGAGCCCGTGGCCGCCTGCAGGCAGAGAGCGGCGGCACCGCGGGGCTCGGCCCCCCGCCCTGCGCCCCGCCGCGCCCGCGCCGCGCCCAGGTACCAGTAGGCGACGAGCAGCAGCGCCAGGAGCAGCAGCAGCCGCCGCGCCCAGCTGCTGGAGAGCAGCCCCGGCAGCCCCTTCAGCCGCTGCTGCAGCCACATGGGCGGCGGCGGCGGGGCGAAGCGGGGGCCCCGGCCCGCGGCCTCGGTGTTACCCCCGCCGCCACTCCCCGGCCCCGATCCCGCCGCGGCGCGGAGACCCTCACGCCGCCATCGCCGCCGCGCCGTGCGGCAGATCCGCCGCGGTTTGCGGCGCTTTGCGACAGAGCCGTCGCACCGCCCCCTCAGAAGGCGCTTGGCAGAAGGCCCTGGCCCGCCTCGACGCCGCGGAGCCGGGACTCATCGCATAGCTCCGTACCCCTTCCCATGGCTCCGTACCCCCTCCCGGGGCTCCTCCTCTGGCTCCGAGCCCCCTCCCGTGGCTCCGAGCCCCCTCCCATGGCTCCGAGCCCCCTCCCATGGTTCTGGGCCCACTGCCCGGCGCTGTCTGTAATTCCAGTGGCAATTTACTCCCGCGATCACAGCAGGGCCCCGTGTGGGAAGGCAAGTTGTATTCCATCCAACCTCATTCCGCTGCGCAGTAAACAGAAGTTGATGATGTGACTGGGACGTGCACAGCAAGCAGCGAGGAGCTTGGTCCCCCAGTGCAGCTCTCAACAGACAGGAGCAGGCCATAGAGAAACACAGTGAGTTCCAACGAAGTGTGACATTCCTGACCAGAGCCAGTGAGCCAGCTGAGTGCAGGGGCTCGGAGGAGGAACCTTCTGAACTAATTCCTGCAAATGGGCTGTTTGATGTGTGAGGGGGCACTGGAAGCTGTGAGCATCTGTAAGAACACTGGGTCAGACCCCATCCCTTGCACGGTTCAGGAGGGCTGGAGTGCCTTCAGAAGGTCTCGTGTGTGCCGAGGCTGTGTTCAAAGCCGAGCTCTGATCCTTTCCGGTTCTGAGGAAGTTGCTGCTTTGCTTGGAGCACGTGTTGCACGTACTCATTGGAACATCTGCACTGGCAGCTGCCTCTGCTTAAAAAGACAGGCAGCCAATTCCAGCTGGAGAGCACAAAGCAGTACAAACATAGAAACAGGGGAAGAAAATGGGCTTGCTGGCTTGGCGTGGCTGCAGAACGCAAACAGAGCTGTCACATAGGGACGGGCTGAGTGCAGCGGTATAAATGATGCATTCATGATTTTTGGTGTGCAAAACCCCCTTTTGTTTTAGAATGGAGACATTTAACTTCATTAAAATGAGAAACTTGCCATTTTTACAATTCTAGATTGAGTCGCAGAAGCCAGCCTGAGATTTGAGGGGCTGAACACTTTTGATGGGGCTCCTGGCTTAAAGTGTTGAGCAGGGGCTTTGTCTGGGCCTGCAAAGTGCTGGAGGAATCTTAATTAAATCTCTTTTTTCTTTAGGGAGAATGGCAGCTTTGCAAAAGGAAGTTTCCTTTATCATTGTCTTAGGGAGAACCGATATTTCCTTGGATTATTGCCTGTAGTGCATCGTTGGATCATGAGGACTATTCTGTTTGCCTGGTAATTATGAGGGAATCCCTGCTTTGGACAAGGGAATGGAAACAAAAGTGGTTTGAATACACTCAAAAATTTTCTCAGTGAACAAAACAACAGTAATGGTATTACTATTACCAGGTAATAGTTAGCTCAGTGCATCTGCCACACCATTGCCCAACACAAGTCCTTTTCCATGCCTCTGCTAAACTCCCCAGTGCTGCTCCTTTCACACCTTCCTGTTGTGGTGTGTGCTGCATGGCTTGAGTTCAGGCATGGCTGAGGACACAATAATGGCTTCAGCATTACACCAGAGCATTGCTTTCCATCTGCGTGATGTCTCACAGAGCACTGTGGCGTTTATACAGACTCTGTTATTCTGGAGGTCTTTGCAGACAAGCAAATATTGTTCACACCTTACAAGAGACAACATAAGTAATCTCTGAATGTTGCTTTCAGTAATGGAAGCAAAGTTTGGTTTAATTACACACAGTGCCTAACAAAATGGCACTGTTGCTTTCAGGTGTTCGCTCCAGTAGAAATAACATGTTGCTCAAGGCCTCAGCTGAGGTGTATGTCAGTGGTAGCTCCTCATCTGGTGTTCTGCAGATTCACTGACCCTAAAGCCATTATTTTGTGTGTGTGTAATTTTATGATGGTTTATTTTGCCTATTCTCAAAGTTAGCCAGAATAAACTAGGAAAAGATGCATGGCTAAGTGAGCAGGGCTAGAGCAAGAAAACCCAGCACAGGTAATTGTAAGCCTTAAAGACGTCTGTATGACCAGTTAGTATGGGAAAGACCAGAGCAGGTTTTGTGTTTGCCAGGGAAGTACATGAGGAGAGATGACAGCTGGCAAGAAAGTGTTTAATCAGATTCCAGAGCTGCACATAAGCCATTTAGCTGGTTTGCCTTTTTTCACAGTTGATCGTGTCAACCAGCTGCGGCACTAATTGCAGCTGGCCAGAAAGTGACCCCCTTCCTCCTACACAGGCTCCGTTTGCTTCATCACAGAATCATGCTAACAATGCTGCTTTCCTCCTCCGCACACCCACGGCCGGTGCCCGCCAGCAGCAAGGCTGGATCCTGACCCAAGGTAAAGTTGCTGCAGCGCCGGGATCAACCCTCACGAACTTCGCGTCCCTGCGGAAGGAACCGGATCCTTCGCACAAGCCCTGGAGCTTCTCTCTCCCGGCCCGGCCCCTGCCGCTTCCCCGCCTTTCCCGGGAGGAGGAGCCCCTGCCTCCCGCTTCCTCCGCCCGTCCCCGCCGGGCGGGTCTGGTGCGTGGCACAAGCTCAGCAGCCCCGGAGCTTTCTAGAGCTGCCTTGTGCCAGGTCCGTCCCGCAGGCAGCGCCTCCGGTCGGTACCGGCTCCCGGGCTGGAATCCGGGCGGGAATTCGGCTCCATGGGGCCTCCGGCGGTGCTGCTGCTTTGGATGGTGCTGGCGCTGCTCGGAGCGGGGGGCGGCGATGCCTCTCCGCAGGAAGGTAAGGGGGGGTTCGCTCCGGGGCCGAGGGTGGGGACCGGCAGCTCGGGTGCCAGCACCGGCCTCTGCGCCCCGGTCCAGCTCGGAGGCAGTGCCTGAGAAAGAGCGTCCGCCGCGGGGTCTGAGCCCCTGAGTGGCATCTGGAGCTGCTGCCGGGTTCTGAGGCAGGGCACGGCGTGGACGCCTTCTGCACATGCTTCCTTAGCGCCTCAGTTACTCGCAGCTCCGGGTTGTGTGAGAGCAGCCTTGGACACCGTCTCATCCCAGTAAAGTACTTTGCAGTCCCCTGGGCTGCATCCCACTTGGGTCAGCCCTTCTGCTGTTGAACTTCCACAGTTCAAGAATTGGGTAACAGAGAGCATTTGATCCTGGTCTGGCCACACAGTGACCTGGGATCCAGGATGCTCCTAAAATAACTCAGAAGTCTATCTCCATATAAACAGTGGGTAGATGCTCTGAAGAGTAGCTAGGGGAACAGTGGAGGATTAGGGCAGCTGCAGGATGTCAGCCAGGCTGACAAAGGTTCATGTGCTGTTGCTCTGCCAAGAAGTTTGGATCATTATCTCTGTCTTCATTAGAGAAGTGACAGTTAAAAGGAGATTTCATCTTGTTACCTAGAATATTTCCCTTCACAATATGTGATTCAGGTATAGTTACCTTTGTTATATATATTATCTAATAATAATACAGTTAATGTGTATCTGGGGGGTGTTGGAAAAGGAGTTCTTTAACTATAGTGGCTTAAGTAAAACAAAACCATTTCAGTACTTAGGATATCTATTAAACAGATACAAGTAAGAAATTAACCTCTCTGTGCTATCCTGCTTTCCTTACACACCCCGAGTCTTCCATGTTTTTAGTGAGGCTTTATAGCAAACTAGAGATAAAAACCTGGGTGCTGGGAAAAGAGCATGAGACCTGTTGGTTAGGAAGAGGGATTTGGAATTAACTGGTTTCTGGCATGGCTTAAAGAAGAAATGCCTTACCTTTTCTGTACCTCAGCTTCCCCAGAGTAATGTGAGAATGATGATATTCTCTCTCGTATGTTCTTTTAGATCTCTGCAAAAGCTCTGAGCATAACTGAATCTTAACTGACTCTTAAAAAAACCCAACCTTCAGTAAATGCGAATTTAATACAGAGATTATATTGTCCACTACTAAATTATGCAGCATTTTTTCTACTTGATCCCTGTATTAATGGTATTTTCTTGGACTCTGAACAGGAAGTGGCACAGTTTCCCAAAGCACAGCCTAGGGATAAATTCATTCCTTGTCCTAAAATGCAGCTGTGATTTCCCTGTAGAGTCAGAGCAGGATTAAGTAACTCTAAAATCTTCCGTTACTGTGCTCATTTTGTCACAGATTTTCACTTCCTATAAAAACTCTGATACTGATATTGGAGTCCCTGTTCCAGTGCTCTGTCCCTACAGGATCCCTTTCATCTATAGTATTCAAAACCCCTCACAAAAGTGATAAATGCCCTCTATTATCATTCTACAGATGGAAAAGATTATCGTTCTACAGAGGGATAGCAAGATTGGCTTCTCTTTGCATAGCAGAGCTAGGAGTACAGCCCAGCTCCCCTGCTTCCTAGTCCAATGTTTGCTTTGTTACCCACACTGTGTTTCTATTCTGCAGCCTTGCCAGTTCTACGACTTCTAATTGTCAGCCCAAGGAGTCTCTGGGCCCAGGAGGCCCAGCTTAACAAAACCATTTCTACGTCTCAGAAGTAACAGGGAGGCATAAACGTGCTTTTGGAAGTTTTAAAATGCCTGACTCTGATACTGTAACTAAAAGGCTTTACTGCTCTGGCTCTCAAATACCTGTCAGCTCTACCAGTGTTCAGCAACATCTTTGAGAAAGAGAAAAAAGGGTTAAAGGAGGAGTGGAGGCAGCATAGCTCAGCTTGAGCTTCTAGTACTGGACTGAAGGAATGTCTCTTGGGATGGAAAGCTCTTGCTACTGCAGAGATTTCTCAAAACAGAAACTGAGCTTAATATGTCTCAGAGTCCTGCCCCCCCAGACCAGTAATGAAAAGGGAATCTGTAACTTGGAATTCTGCTGAGGGGGATCGTTGTCTCTGTGCTGGCTTTTCATGCTCCAGTGAGTTTACATGCGGCACACTAAAACTGTCTTCGAAACAGGACACCGCTTCCTGTTCATCCATGTGAGCCTTTAGCTCTCACCTCTCCTCCCACAGACTCCTGGCAGTCATATCATAAACAGTTGTTTGCTAACTTGGGGTGGTGGTATGAAAGTGAATTAGGGACCTATTTAATTTGAGGTGTCTGAGGATTCAGGCTGAAATAATTGTACAGTCAGGCTCTTTTTCTTTCTTGCCTTCTTTTGTCATTATCATATGCCTTCTCCTCTCTTTTCAGCTACTAGAATTTGATACCTAGACAGATGCATTCCTTTCCAGCAAGTCCATATTTGCCCCCCTCTTTGTTGGCAGTATGAGCTTCAGCTTCTCAGAAACCATGAGCTCTGAGCTATCTAATAGAGCTGTCATGGTTTTGTGCATGCTGCTCTATGGCTAGAAACTTTAATGGCTTTAACATATTCCCTGAGGATATATATATTTTACTTATTTGTTTACACCCTCTGACTGGACAGGACGCAAGGAACTGGAGTGTGCTGGAGGAGCTGCACTATGAATGCGCTTCATACCTCTGAGAGTCTGCCTTTAAAAACTGCAGGATTCATATTCTTTCATTTATCCTTTCTCTGTGTAAGTGTCTAACAAAATACACCTGTAGCTGACCGTCTGTTGACTGTTCCTAATCTCCTCTCTTTTTCTGATGCAGGTGATGGATTTTAGGAATTTCCTTGGGAATATCCTCTTTCTTCCTAACTTGGAGTCTTACACTTATTTTTCACTTTTGCTGCCTTTGCCAGGTCTATCTAGATCCTTCCTCTCTCAGATAGATTCATAGAATCATAGAATGGTTTGGGTTGGAAAGGACCTTAAGATCATCTAGGTCCAACCCCCTTGCCATGGGCAGGGACGCCTCACACTAAACCATGGCACCCAAGGCCTCGTCCAACCTGGCCTTGAACACTGCCAGGAATGGAGCATTCACAACCTCCCTGGGCAACCCATTCCAGTGCCTCACGTCCCTAACAGGAAAGAATTTCTTCCTTATATACAATCTGAATCTGCCCTGCTGAATTTGAACCTGTTACCCCTTGTCCTTGTCAGGCAGAATATCAATTTGGGTACACTGGGAAGATGCATCTGGTGCATCCATTGAAAAAAAATCATTGTTCCAAAAGAAGTCTGCTCAAGCCAAGAAAATGTACTGTCAATTTTCCAGGTATTTTCTGATGTTAAAATCAGATGGCCAAGGTTTGCATTTAGGCACTGTTGCCAGAGCCTATACAATTTTCTACTTAAGCAAAACTGTTAAGATGACGTTTAGCATTTAATCATTACAATGAATAAATCAGAGCTTCCACATAAACAACATATTCCAGTGGTACTATAGAGAGACTTCTGAAAGAGAACTTCAGGATTTACTGCTGTCATTTTTAAGGACCTGGAAATGAAAAGCAAGTTCATGTGGATGGAAGTTATGGTAGGATTAAATTCACATTAAATTCACATTTGTGTATGTATGAAAAAGGTCTGGAAAACACCTCGGGAATGCAGCAGAAAATTGGAACAGCCACGGAGAGGGAGTAAGAACATTTAGCTAATTTTGGTCTTCCCTACACTCAGTCAATGCTGAGTGACAAAAGAGCATCTCTGTGGGGAACAGGGAGCCAATTGCACTAAATGGGTACTTCCAAATGGGCATTTTGTAGTATGTCTGTATTTTACCTTCAGGTTTAATTCTTCATACTCTATGTGACAGAAGAGAATTGTAGCTCTCAATAGCAGGGAAAAAAACCACTTAGTACATTGTATTTTCTTTTTCTAGCTCATAACTCCGGCAATGAAATTGTATCTCTACATAATCTCTCATTTTATACCCAGGACCAAATTCTAATCTCTGCTGCAAAGGAACAGTCTTGCTTGTGCTGCAGTTAGCTTTGGGTTCTTCAATCAAACATTGAAATCTAAAAGCATCTTTGCCACATTCTGTCCCCTGTTGCAGTTCCTCCAATGAAACATTGGCTACATCCATTCTTTCTTTTTTCCTTCTGGGAATCTTTGGGTTGCTTGCAAGAAAGTCCAGGCAGCAGATAAGTAGGATTTGAATCTGGTTTTCTTCCTGAGGTTGAGGCTTTGGGCAGTGAGACCACCTACAGTGCTTAATATTGTTTAATATTGTACAGTATAGAGATAATCAGGTGAGGTGTAAGCAACGTGTTTGCTTCTCAGCAGGATATGGGAGCTCTACAGCTTGGCTACGCCTCTTTCCTGATTTCAAGTGAACATCTGCCAATGTCATATGGAACAGATGCAACCTGTGTCTGTCCTTCAACAGCAGTGACTCTTTGTGCAAAGGTTGAGACTCCTGGATTCTATTGCTGGATTTATGATCAACATAAAGAATGTACTGGGAAAGTCACTTTGCTTCTCAGTGGTTGGATTTTGACTTCCCTTTGTCATGCCTGTCAAGTACCTCTAAGATTATTGATCCCTACTTTGGCTCAGTATTGATAGTAAAGCCTCTTCATCAGGTACAAAACAGCTGGTTGTGAAAACAAGTTGAATGTGTCTCTTGTGCTTTCTCCTATGTGCAGAAAACCTGCTGGTTCTTACTGTTGCCACCAAGCAGACCGAGGGATTCCAGCGTTTCAGAAGATCAGCCCAATTCTTCAACTACAAAGTCCAGGTGATGGCATCAGCCTTGGTGGTTGGTCAGAGGGAATTTTGAAGTGTGGAATGAATAAGACTTGGCCACAGAGTGGTTAAATAGAAGCCACAGAGTACTGTGACTGGGGCATTTCTGCCCAGTCTTTTGTTCTATCCTGAGTGAGATCCATAACTCCTGCTCAGGGGAGCCCTGTGGCACTTTTCCATTGCAGTGCCAAAACACACAGTACAGTTTGTGCTTCTGTCCCTGTTGCTGAGAGCACTTTGTTACTGTGCTACATGTTACTCTGTCCATCCCAGAGAAGGGTCCAAAGGCTAGTGAATATACCTGGTTCATCTCTTCTGATTCTGGAAGGCTTTTTGTTGGGATCTGCACTGGGAGTTGTCAGGATTAGTCACTTTGTGGGTTCCGGTTCTTTCCTGTGAGTCTTGCTGGGAAAACGACCTGTTTGGTAGACCCTGTGCTTGTCATTCTTTAGGTGCTGGGGCTGGATGAGGAGTGGAAGGGTGGAGATGACAAGAAGCCAGCAGGAGGTGGGCAGAAGGTCCGTCTCTTGAAGTCAGCTTTGAAGCAGTATGTGGATAAGGAAGACTTGATCATCCTTTTCATAGAGAGGTAATGGGCTGGAAAGTATTTGCCCTGAACTGAATCCTAAGGCTGTTTGGACAGGTTCTTACTCAGAAGAAATTTACTGTGAAGTAAATTGCTTTTGGAAGGTGAGCCCAGACCTCTGGGTTTTTTCCCCCCCTGAATTCTCTGCAGTTGCCTGAGAGTTGCTGAGAGCTGCATCCGTGGCAGCTGGGAAAGTCTGATCAGAATAGGCTGATTCCAACTCTGGCATAGAGTTGATAGCATTATACCTGTTTGTGCCGTGGTGGAATTTGGCTGCCTTTGTCTGCAAAGAAAGAACAAACAATTTCTGTGAATCCAGGCAGGCCTTTCCTACCAGAACTATTTGTTTTATAAGGTAAGGCAGGCTGCAACACAATCCTGGGAGCCAAGAGTTAGTCTGCCAGAGAAATGTGAAGAGGGAAAAGGACAGTTTGGAGTCTCAATGTCTTTTCATATGCCCAGCAACAGGGAGGGCTGGGATCTCTGTATCTGTTTCTAGCTCCCATGGCAGGGAGATGTCTTTTGCAGGTCTGAATATCTACGTGTGTTTAGAGAAGTTGGGATGATTAATCTCTGGAATGAGTAACTTTTTCACTCACCAAAATAAGTTTAAAGTATGCAGATCCTCTTGCAGAAAATGCAAGTCTCATTCTGGGAGCATTGTCTGGGAATTAGTTCTAACCAGAGACAGCAGCTGGAGAGCAACATCCAGTGATTGGCATCCAGCACAGGTTCCTCCTGAAGATTTGCAGGGAGCTCAGTGGAGAGTGGCAGGATGCTAGGAGATGTAAAAACACCTGTGGGTTTCTTTAATCTAGAAAGAAATGGCAGAGCAATTCTTCTCCCCATAGGTTGTTACACACAGGGAAGGCACCAGGGCTTCACGGTTCTAAAAGGGGGAAAAGCAAGAAGAGATCAGCATGTTTTTCAGCTTGGAAGGTTTGTTTTTATCATCAGTGAAAACTCTGTGAAAATAAGAATGGGCATAAGTTGCCCCAAGCCAGTTTGGAATCTTCTGCAGTGGAAAGTATCATCTTCCACTCTATGAATAAAATTGCACTTTAATTAGCTATAATTGTGACAAAAAATATAATACTGTGAGGCAGAACTAAAGTAAAGGGATTCCTAAAGAATTAGCTGTTTCTAGAAACTTATCTCACTGACATGTTTTTCTGACTCCATTCCTTTCTGTCCCTTTCTTGTCTCTCTTTAGCTATGATGTACTCTTTGCTTCGGGCCCCACAGAACTGCTGAAGAAGTTCAAACAAGCCAAGAGCAAGGTGGTCTTCTCAGCAGAAAACTACATCTACCCTGACAGAAAGCTGGAAGCCAAGTACCCTCAGGTGCGAGATGGAAAGCGCTTCTTGGGTTCTGGAGGTAAGACACAGAGTGTTCCTTTAGTTGAGAGCCACTCTCAGCTTCTTATTCCTTTAGAAGGGCTTTGGGAGAAGTAGCAAGTGACCAGGTGTGGGAAACATCTGTGTAGAAGATGATGCAGACTGAAGTCCTGTGCATATCTGGCTGTAATGGAAAGATTAACAACGCTCTTGTCTTTAACCTATGTAGTTATGAATTGCCTGTAGAGGATAGGAACCTGCTCCCTATCCCTTCTCCCTTTTCAGTGAGATGTGTCATTCAGGGTGGGGGTATCTGAGCTTTGCTGGTGGTGAAGGTGACAGGTTTGATTCTGGTGTCAGTCCGTGTTGGGAAGTGCAGTCTGTACACGCCTTTGCTGAAAGTTCATGTGTCTCTGCAGCAACACAGAGTGGATGAGACTTTGTGTGAAAGAAGTGAGAAGAGTGTGTGAAAGAATATGTATACAGGAGTACTTCCCTTTTATGGTTGTATGGGTTGAAACACCTCTTCCTGCTTATTCCCACAGGCTTCATAGGTTATGCTCCAAACCTGATGAAGCTTGTGGAGGAGTGGAAAGGACAGGACGATGACAGTGACCAGCTCTTCTATACAAACATCTTCTTGGATCCAGAAAAAAGAGTAGGTGTAATTAGATTTTGGGATGAGGAGGAGTTATCCGAGGAGCCTTGCTGTTAATCCTCTGTGCAGTATCCCTGTTGACAGTAAAAGAAGTAAATCACATACATACTGACTCTTAGTTACTGCTCTGGCATCCTTACATGGAAAAGGCCAGTAGTGTGTCTAGTCAGTTGTTTCCCTTCTGATAATTTGCATTCTAGACACAACCCCCTTGTTCTGTTAATAGAGGTTTAATCTTTAAACTTAAAATGTGACTGGGATGGTAAATGTCTTAAAACATGTTTTACTGGAAACTCATGCCAGTATCTGTATGTGCTGATGTTTAAAGCTGTAGAGTGTGACAGAAATAACCAGCCTCCTCCCAGGGGATGTGAAACCCAGACTTGTTCCCTGCAGAGCATAGTGCTGACTTAGATGTATCCAGCCTAGCACTGAAGTAGCTTTTAGGTAAAGAGTCAGATGAGGCCTGAGTAGATTTGAGGTGATGAAGGGACAAAGGTTCACAGCCTTTTAGCCACTGTTGATGCATAGGATGGGGACTGTAGGTGTCACAGTGGGTAGCCCTGCTGGAACAGAGAGGCTGCACTGCCTTCAGCAAAACACCTCCAGATCCTGGCCATCAAATTCTACATCAGCCTTTGTAGCATGCCACGTAACATCATGCAGAAGCCTGGGAGGGACCCTGAAAGCAGCATTGCCATTCAGCACTGTGTGCTGCACTGGCCAAATCATCCAGCCCACAGGGTGATTCTGCTTCTGTTCTCCCTGCCCAGTTCTGCATGACGCAGCACAGTCTGTCCCTGAGGGACACCACAAATGCGTGAGAACTGAGAAGTCAAACTGTAAGAGTAAAGTCAGGAGGAAACATTAGAAATAGGAAATAGCTTTCAGACTGATGAGGGAAGGAGTTGCAAAGCTGGTAAATTCAGAACAGCTGCACTTTCTGCTTCCCCTAATCTGAATATGGCCCCGTGGTATTTTGACAGGGACAGTTCCCTTGATGTTCTCATCTGCAGTTCTGGCCCTGTGCTGCATAAAGGCTGAGTAATTCCACTGACTTGGCATTCAGACAGCGGATGTTAGCACCCTGCTGTCCTTTCAAGTAATCAGTCTTAACAGATGCCTGGAGGGGCACTGAACTCTGCTAAGTCAGAGCTGAGTTTTAGTCTGAGAGAAATCCAGTCAGAGTGTCTTGTAGCAAGGGGTAAAAACAAAGTTTGCATACGCTGGCCTTGTGTCCTTACTGCGTTCTGGTTTGACATCAGTACCTGGGGCAACACTTGGGGTAACACTTGCCCTGTGGATAGATGGTGAGAAACTGTCTTCACAGCAGATGGTTTTGCTGTCTTGGCATTCCTGCATGTTATATGTAGGGTTTATATGACTGTCCTGCAAGGATACTTCATTAATATGCTGCATATTATTATTGGCACACCCACAAGAGCTCTAAAATACTTATTTGCATGGGTTTGCCTGATACGTTTAAATAGATGTAGAAAATGGCAAATTCTCCCAGATTGAAATGAAAATGAGGATTAGCCAGGAGTGTTTTAGGCTTCAGAGCCCGAGTATGGAAGTGATCAAGGGAATGCAATGTATCTTTGCTCAGCATAGGATCTCTTGCAAGTAAAGAATGGATGCCCACTTGTGTTCTAATTCAGGTTATTTATCTCATTCTTTTAAAGGAAAGTATCAACATCAGTCTAGACCAAAGAAGTCGGATCTTCCAAAACTTAAATGGAGCATTAGGTGAGATGGAAGAAGGAATGTTACTTCTCCTTGGAATGCAACTGCATGTTGACACCAGAAATAAAGTTGTGGCTGAAGGGATTAAATTTCAGGAATTCCTGTCTCTGCAGAATAAGCTTCAGTAAAAAGCCTCTGCCAGAATTCTGGGATGTATTTGCAATTCCACTGTGACCAGCTAGGTTCTTATTGCAATTGCCTCTTCACTTGGGGGAATGCAGGTCAGGTTTTCCATCTTGCACCTCCATACCATTTGGATCTCCAAGTATGTCAGATTGCATTAGCCTTGGGGATTAAAACTGGGAGGGATTTTCAGTGCAAGTGATAACACACAACCCTGCCTGGGGCTTGCCTGTCTTTCCGCTTCAGAGCTCTGTCTGGAATGGCATAGAAAGTGAGACACAGCCAGATACTGCCTGTGAGCACTTGCTGACCTGACCTGCTGATTAATTCATTTTTCTAGTCCTGGCAAAAGTGATTTACTTACTCTCCTGCCACTGCTGCCTGTTTTCAGTTCATAGTCATGCACCATTCCACCATAATTCCAGTCAGGTAACAAACTGTAATGACACAGTAGTTTTTAGCTCCTGTACTCATGTACATACTGGAACTTGGCTCTGTGCTAGTCTGTTTTCCAATGGATTTTGTGTCTTGTGTTGGGGAGATGTCTTGGATGATCTCTACTAGGAGGGTGGACTTCTCTGAGGGGTGAGAAAGAGATAACACATGCATAGAATGCTTAGGTGGGAAGGGCCTGAGTCCTCCCTGGCCATCAGTAGCTGTTCCTCACTGTAGAGTTTGTAAATGCCCGTGCTGAAAGACTGTATCAGTGTGGCTTTTGCTAATGCCCAGTATAAGGCATATGTGTCAGTCCAGCAAGCTGGATTTCTGTCCAACTTCCCAGCCATCCTCCTGTTACTTCACAGGATCACTCTGAACATTTTTCTCCTTTCTGGATGTGGTCTGTAGCCCTTAAACTACTGGTGCATGGTTATAAACATCCATGCTTTCATCCTTCAACAGTCATTCTGTAGAAACAAGGCACCCTGCTGCCAATTACCACTGAAAGCCTTCCTCTGATAACATGATGGCAATGTCCTTTCTAGATGAGGTGGTTCTGAAGTTTGAAAACTCACGAGTGAGAGCAAGAAACTTGTTATATGACACTCTGCCTGTGGTGATTCATGGAAATGGACCCACCAAGGTAAGTGGATATCCTGAGGGATTTGGTATATATTTGTTGCAAAGCGACCCTTTAGGCTCAAGTGTATCAGGTCACTGTCTTCCCATATATTGACTTTCCTTTTATACATTTATGTTTGAAAAACAATAAGTGGTCCAGGTCTGTAGCACAAGATGGGTCTGGTTCAAAGGTTAGTGTGTAATTAGCCCCTCAGGCTGTCGTGCTTTTCAGATTCTTTAGTCCAAGGAAAGGGTAAATGAAGTTCTGATCAGACATGATCTTACATAGGGGGTGGATGCAAAGAAGCTCCCCTGTCCTGGAATGTCTAACATGGTAAATTGCCTTTTGCAGCTGCAGCTCAACTATCTGGGAAACTACGTTCCTCAAATATGGACATTTGAGACTGGCTGCACTGTGTGTGATGAAGGTCTGCGAAGCCTCACGGGGTTTAAAGTAAGGCTAATGTTTATTCAAAGCTCTCAAGTCTTACAGTTACAATGGGATCTCCTGTGTCTGATGTGGTACATGAGCCAGCACTTCTCTTTCCATCAATGTAGGATGAGGCATTACCAATGATTCTGATTGGCATTTTCATCGAGCAGCCCACTCCGTTCCTTTCCCAGTTTTTCCTGAGGCTTCTTAACCTTCATTACCCAAAGCAACGAATCCAGCTCTTCATTCACAACCACGTAAGTAAAGTTGGCTTGTAAGAGTCTTAGCAAATGTGGGGAAAATGTGCTCCTGTACTCTAGGTACCTCTGCAACCTTTGGCTAGACTTCCAGACTCTGTAATCATAGAATCATAGAATAGTTAGGGTTGGAAAGGACCTTAAGATCATCTAGTACAAACCCCCCTGCCATGGGCAGGGACACCTCACACTAAACCATGGCACCCAAGGCTCTGTCCAACCTGGCCTGGAACACTGCCAGGGATGGAGCATTCACAACCTCCCTGGGCAACCCATTCCAGTGCCTCACCACCCTTACAGTAAAGAACTTCCTCCTTCTATCCAATCTAAACTTCCCCTGTTTCAGTTTGAACCCATTACCCCTTGTCCTATCACTACAGTCCCAAATGAAGAGTCCCTCCCCAGCATCCTTATAGGCCCATTTCAGATACTGGAAGGCTGCTCTGAGGTCTCCACGCAGCCTTCTCTTCTCCAGGCTGAACAGCCCCAACTTTCTCAGCCTGTCTTCATAAGGGAGGTGCTCCAGTCCCCTGATCATCCTCGTGGCCTCCTCTGGACTTGTTCCAACAGTTCCATGTCCTTTTTATGTTGAGGACACCAGAATCCCAGTACTTATCTGCAGTGGCACCTATAAGATAGCTCCATCCAGCTGTAAAGATGTGGAAGTGGGAAGAGCTGTTGCTTGTCTGCTTTGGCATTTTTGAGAACAGGAGCCTGAGCCCATCTTTTTCCTTACTTTTCTTTTGGAATAGGAACAACATCACTTGATGCAGGTGGACTCTTTTGTTAAAGAGCATGGCAAAGAATACCTTGCTGTCAAAGTGATTGGGCCAGATGATGAGATGGAGAATGCTGAGGCACGTAACTTGGGCATGTAAGTGAAGAAGCCGTATGTGATGGCTGGCAGAGTCAGCCTGTGTCCACTCTAAGGCAGTCTGTTTCATCTGAGGATCATCACTGTCAAGTGGATGCTTCTCTTCTCTCAGTTACCCTTTCCTTTCAATGTTCTTGGCATTAATTCCCTATGTCCATTCTGACTCTTCTTGCTCTTTGTCTGTAGGGATTTGTGCAGAAAGGATCCTGGCTGTGACTATTACTTTAGCCTGGATGCTGAGATAGTTCTGAAGAACACAGAAACTCTAAGGATCCTGATTGAGCAGAACAAGTAGGTTCTTTGGTCTGAGCAATCCTTACTGGTCATCTTTCACATGGGGAATACAGTGAGCTCTTTTATCACTGTGATATGTAAAGCACTAGGAGAACTGTGTCAGAATATTAGACAAAACCTCTTCTTTAGTCTTTTTCTACAGTAGTTGTAATCCCTGGATTTTAGGCAGTGGGTGTAAATCATCTCTAGTTTTGTCTTTATATAGGTGCTAGAACAAATCAGATTCTAAAAGACCTACTGCAGGGTGCAGTAGGAGATTGTGACCGTATTTGCCCTTTCTTATGTGGGATTCTATTCCAACAGAGTTAACAGAAGCAGCAGCTCTGTAAGTGTGGGGGACCCTGACTCCTACAGTCCTGTGGATTGTAAATCTTTCCCTTTTTTTTCCCGTGGTAACATCTTGTCCTGCAATTCCTTTTGTGCTCACAGGCTGGTGATTGCCCCACTGGTAAGCCGTCATGAGAAGCTGTGGTCAAATTTCTGGGGAGCACTGAGCCCTGATGGGTACTATGCCCGCTCAGAAGATTACGTGGATGTTGTTCAAAGGCGGAGAGTGTGAGTATGCAAAGAGAGCTTCTTACTGGTGCAGTTCCTCAGATGTAAAACATTGCTGCATTTGAGGAACTTACATTGCTGCAGCACATTCTCCTCAAACTAGGTAATGTCAAAGAACCAGAGAGCACAACTATCTTTGTGTATAGGAAAGGAAAAGAAGTCTCTACTCCCATTTGGAAGTTGCTCTCTGTTCTCTCTTGGGTAGAGACAGGTACTTCAGGCAGATTTTCCTGTGATCAGAGTTAGGGTTTGCGAGTTCTGACTTGGCTGAAATTACTTCATCTTGCTCATGTCAGCTGTAGTTAGTGTGATCCTTAAAAATCCCATGAAGTGCTGTTTAATCTTTGTCAGATAGTCTTCGTAAAATACCACATGATCCTTGACTGGTATATTCACAAAACACAATTTTTTGCTCATTCCTATTTTTGAGGGCCCCTCTCTTTATTTTTTGGGCTATTATAGGTGTGAGAAATGCTGGAAATCAGCTTATGCACTTTTGGCTGCTTCACTGGTGTAAATCATTGGAGAAAAAAATGTTGATCTCTCTGGGAAGATTTTCAAGCCAGTCCCAGCAAAACCACACAATGTCAATTAATTGCTTTCACAGTGGACTAACATTTGTGCATCTTAAAAGCTCTGGGCAATATAAGTGATTTTTCCTGGAATGATAATCCCTGCTGGTATGGTTTCTCCCTGCTGTTCTGAGTTGGCTCGTTTAGGCAAGCCTGGCTGACACTGCAGTGCTGCCTGCCATCTTGGCCAGTCCAGCAGCTTCTGTCTTAGTGGTATTTCAAGCCTTGCTCTTCTATCCATGTGTTTTCAGTGGGCTTTGGAACGTTCCCTACATCAGCAGCGTTTACCTGGTTAAAGCCAAGGTTCTGCGATCGGAGCTTGACCAGGGAGATCTCTTCCACAGTGGCAAGCTGGATACTGACATGGCTTTCTGCCACAACGTTCGGAATCAGGTCAGTTGAGGAGAGAGAGGCTGCCAGGAGAGAGCTGCATGCCAGAGTGGAGGTGACAGGATTAAGTAGTTTCAAGGAATTCAGCTCTGTGGGGCATGGGACGGGGTGAACTGGCATTATTCAGTACTCTTCAGGCTTGGAATAATGTGGGATTTCTGTCTTGCTGTGGAACTACAGAGAGCCAGGGACCACTAAATGTGGGTAACAGGTTTGTTCTTGGGCTTGTTGAGGACTGTTCTAAATGGGTTTGACAGAGTAAGAAGGAAGAACCTAATCTCACAGCAGGTGCTCCAAGCCTGGCTGACAAGAGGTACAGAAGTACTGCCTATAACCTTTCAAAGTTCCTCTTATCGAGGGTGGAGATCAAACTGAAGGCTCACAGGAGAAAGAATGCGTAAATGAACAGCTTGGGCAGAGCCGTCAGCATTGGAGAGCTGTCCAGTGCTTATGTTTCACAGTGGCTCACAGAAATGTGAGGTCTTGATTCTTTCCCTTTATCCTGCAGGGAGTCTTCATGTACCTGACCAATCGACATCAGTTTGGGCACATACTGTCCCTGGAGAATTATCAGACAACTCACCTCCACAATGACCTCTGGCAAATATTCAGCAATCCTGAGGTAAGAGAACCTGCATGCTCAGCTTAGCATGGCTTAGCAATGTGCCATGTGAAGATTTCGTGACCAGCTTCACCAATAAGGAAGGTCCAGGCTTTGTAGTAGAAATGTCTCTCAGGTGGGATGAGAAGAATAGTCATAGAAGTTAAAGAGAGCGTGTTTGTGTGATTCATAACATCTGGATTTTCAAAGCCTGTGAAATAATTGCTGCATTAGTGCCTGGCCTTTCATTGCCTCTTTAACCAGGCCCCACAGAAATGACTGGTTTGCTTATCTTTTAACTGCAGGACTGGAGGGAAAAGTACATCCATGAAAACTACACAGCAGCTCTGAAAGGGAAATTGGTAGAAATGGTAAGAAAACATCACTGTTATCCATCAGAATGGGAGATTAGCATCAGGACAATGCTGAAGACATTCCTGAGAATGACAGTCGTCACTACTGTCAGGAATAAGCAGTTCAGCACAACCTCATAGTCTTTCAAATCCAGACGAATCGTGACCTTGGAAGTATTTTTAGAGCCAAATCATTCTTCTAGAAGTACATCCAGCTCTCTTAAGTGGAAGTGGAGCACATATATCAGAAGATAAATTTCTATCCTCAATATTTTAGTTACTTTCCATTTAAACTGACTCAATCTGCAGTCAGTTTAGTTTTATTCCTTTTGCCTCAAGCACGTCCTTCTTTCTGTTATTCTCACCTGTCTGCTTTCTGCAGCCCTGCCCAGATGTTTACTGGTTCCCCATATTCACTGACATTGCCTGTGATGAGCTGGTGGAAGAAATGGAACATTATGGCCAGTGGTCCACAGGTGACAACACGGTAAGAAGAAGCAGGAGCTTTTTGATTTCTGGGTCACACCATTGTTCGTGTGTATTGGATGGCAGCAGTGCCTCCTGTAGGAGGCTCTTAGATCTCACAGTTAAACCAGGAAACTGGAGGCGAAACAATTTTGTTCCTGATTGGGCTCTATGATTTTGCCCCTGTTCTTAAATGTGAATGAATTTTCCGGAGTCCTCTTTAGCATCCTCTGAAGTTACAGTTTTCAGCCCTTCTGATGGTATTTTTTTTTACCTTGGGTTGTAATTATTTCTTGAAATGAGTTGTTAATCCTGAAATTTCTGATCAATAAAACTCTTTCTTACTCGTAGTTACCAGAAACAAGTGCTTTTCTCTCCTGAAGTCCAAGGTTCCCATCCTTACGGATATTTTCATGATTCTGTTTCAGGACAGCAGAATACAAGGAGGATATGAGAATGTCCCAACTATTGACATACACATGAATCAGATTGGCTTTGAAAGAGAATGGTATAAGTTTCTTCTGGACTATATTGCACCCATCACAGAGAAACTGTACCCAGGATACTATACCAAGGTATGTGTGCCTTAGCATCAAAACTCGTGCTCAGATCAGCACCTCCTCTAGTTGCAACTTTGAAAAGACTGCTGGAATCCTTTGGCAGTATGCATACTATTTCCTAGTTGACCCTGAGTATGATGTAAGTAGATGCATCAGGAAATACATGATTTCCTAATGACATTCTCCTCCCTTATTGTTTCCTTTCTCTCCTAGCAGCAGGATGCACTTTATCACACCATACTCTGCAACTCAGTAGCCATGGACTATTGTAGCCCTGTAACCGATGTGCACTTTGTTCTTCCCTCCTACAGACTCAGTTTGAGCTGGCCTTTGTCGTTCGCTACAGACCTGACGAGCAGCCCTCTTTAGTGCCCCACCATGATGCTTCCACCTTTACCATTAACATTGCTTTGAACAAAGTTGGGATAGACTATGAGGTAAGTGTGTGCCAGTGTGTCAAGAATGCAGTACAACTTCTGGAGTGGTCCAGGCAGCTGGAAACGCTTTTCTTACCCACATCTGGCTTCTCCACACTAAGGATGCTGAGTAATAACTGTCTAGGGTAAAAAGATTCTTGAATGCATCAGGACATGGAAGATTCTCCAAGTACCTTCTCAGCTTTTCTGAAGGTTTCCAAGAAGGAGGCAGGGACTCTTTCCCTGAGGTGCTGATGTACCCAGCTGATGTGTCTCTTGTGTTTCCATCAGGGAGGAGGCTGCCGGTTCCTGCGCTACAATTGCTCCATTCGAGCTCCACGAAAAGGGTGGACCCTTATGCATCCGGGACGCCTGACCCACTACCATGAAGGTCTTCCAACCACCAAAGGAACCCGTTACATTGCAGTGTCCTTTCTTGACCCCTAGAGCCATGCTTCACAGGAAGGACCTTTCCCTGGCCCTGCTCACTGCTGACTTTGAGTGGAATCAGGGAATGCTGCTGAATGTTTCTAAGGCATTGATCAAAGCTATTTGGATATTGATTCTTAATGATATTTTAAGACTCCACTACTGGAAGATCTTCTTCTCTGATCCTGCAGGTGATATCTAGGAATATTGCTGTAGAATTTGGAAGGAGATATTGTGCCTTCATTTTTGATTGTGCTCCTCATCCGCTCGCTCTTGGAAGTGCGATTTACTTGAACCTTCAGTGATTGGTTGGCTTTACAAAAATGCTTTCTTGGACTCGAAATCCAGCTTCTTGGAAGCAAGTCACGAGCTCTTTCTCCAGATAGCTGGAAACTCATTTTCATCCACGTATCCACATATGCGGGACTGGACATTAGACAGTAATTTCTGGATACTATTCCAAATATAAGCCAATCAGGGAGCAGACTCCAGGAGTCACAGCAGTTAAATGTCATACCAGATGAAACTCAGTAGTAAGAGCCTGAAAATCATCTGATTCCTTACCTCTGCAGTCCTTGGAAGCCTATCACAAAGTCCAAAGCAGTAGCAGTGGCAATACAGGTGCTTCTGGTTAGCTAAAGGAAGGTCCACTAATGATGCTTTACCTCTGGGATTAGACTGAAGAGATAAAAGGTTGCCTCCCTACCTTGTGTTACAGAGGCTGAAAGGAGCATGCATGCCCAGGCAGAATCAGTCCATGTTGGTATGGGTAGATAAAATCTGATGAAGGGAAGGCTGAGAACAACTGGATCAGTGCTGAAGGGTATCTGTTCTATCCCACATTGAGAGTGTCAGAAGCTCTCATCAATGCCTGGATAACAACCCAGTGGGCTCTGGTGGCCTCATTGAGTTCTCAGAGAGCGTTTTGATAATTTTCTTTGCATCTAATTTGAATGGGCCATCAAAGAGCTGTTCTCTGGGAGTCATTATCAATTATTTGAGATTACGAACCAAATACTCCACTCCAGCCTCCTGTCCAGTGGGGTTGAACATGATAGAAATGACTGGTTGGAAGGTGCTGAGAGCTTGAGGTGAACTCGTAGGTGTATAAATCTGTCTGGACTAGGCCCATGGGTGGAGAGGGAAGGGGAAGAACCTTTTCTGCTGTTGTCTGCAAGATAACTTTGCTCATCACACACTGTTACACTCCGGGGCTGCCAGCCCAGTCAGGATGTTTCACAAGCAGTAAATTCACACCACAACTGTCCTTAGGAAGAGAACCCCACTTTTCTCTTAGTTTTCTGTGGCTCCAGCTTCTGTCTAACTGTAGATAAAGGAGCCCTTTTAGCTAGGATGGGTCATATTAAAGTAGGCAGAGCAGCTTTAGCCATGTACGTCATGGCAGGGAGCCTTACAGAATTGGAGTGGACTTGAGGGATCAACCAGGTTGGGAAAGGCCTTTTTAGGATCATCTAGTCCAACCCTTACGGAAGGCGACATTGCCCTTTTCCTGCTGCTTTCTATGTGCTTTTTGGGTGTGACTCAAGGCTGCAGCCCCACGGGAGGAAAACCCAGGCAGGGGCAATGGGTTTGAGAAGTAAACCAGTAATAAATCGTGCTAGGCGGCATGCGGAGCTCGCTGTTACCACGCGAAGGGACGCGATCCGGTGTCGAAAAGGTGTATGTATTTATTCAGCAGGATTGGTTGTTTTTTTCACGTGCCTTGTTGTGTCTTTCCTCCGCCCGTGCCGCCGTGGGGGTTCCAGAGCCGGGTGTCCCTCGGCTGCGCGGTGCGGGCCCCGGAGAACCCGCGTTAACTCCGCACCAGCGCGGATGAGGCCCGGCTGGGCCTTGAGGCCCTCAGAACTACGGCTCCCATGGTGCCCCGCGGGAGGGCCCGCCCGTCGCGCGCCGATGACGCGCGCTCCCCCCGCCGGGCTGGTGACGGTGCCGCGGGGTGTCATGGCGGCGGTGCGCTGAAGGTGAGCGGTGGGGTGGGGCGGTGCCTGGCGGCCGAGGGGCGCTGGGGGCCGCGGCGGGGCTCTCCCGGGCGGCAGGGACACGGGAAGGGAGGGAAGAGGAGCGGGGGAGCCTCCGGGGCATGGCCTTGCCGCCCCTCCGTGGTGGGAGTGGGAGAGGGGCCGGTTCCCGCCTTTCGGTCGTGCGCGCCAGCCCCCTGAGGCGTGCGTGAGGAGAAGGCGATGGCGGCCGCCCGGAGCATCAGCCCAGAGCGGTCCCTGGTCACTGCGGTAGCGGGAGAGCACAGCCCGGCCCAGCACGGAGCTCGGCAGCCTGCGCCCCTCATCCCCCGTGTCCCTTTGCCGCAGGGAGGGGGACAGGCTGGACTCGGCGTCGCTGGGAGAGCTGCGGGACGGAGTTCGGCCCGGGCGAGGGAGAAGGCAGGTAAAGGGCCTGCAGACGTTCACGTTCAAGAGGGACTCGAGCTGACCATGCCTGTCTGGTGAAAACGAAACTCAAAGTAAGCAGAGGAAGGGGAGCAGTGATCACCAGGTGCCTGTTTATTGGGAGGGAGGAGGAAAATTGCTTTTTTCTTCATTAATTTCTGATCTATGAGTAATATCTAGTTGTAGGAAATAGAACAATTTCGTTGTGTAAGAAGGCTGTTTTTAAAGCGTGTGTTTAGCTCTTGGTGGGATGCTTAGTTGGATAGCTAAGTTGGAGTTGGATAGCTCACTTGGTGAGCCACCTTTATTTACTGCGTTTTCCCCAGTAGCGCAATGTCCCTGCTGTTTACTCGTTCCAAGTCAATAGTTGCAGTGAAGAAGGATAAAAGACACATGGCTGAGGTAAATGCTTCTCCACTTAAACATTTTGTCACTGCAAAGAAGAAAATCAATGGTATCTTTGAACAATTGGCTGCGTACATCAGTGAGAGCTCCTCGTTCCTGGAAGGTAAGATGGGTTCTTGAGCTGCAGGTGTGTAACAGTGCTTCACTCACACAGCAAACCCCCCCATTCAGTTAAACGACACCGCTAGACCTGTGCTTATTTGTACACTTACACTGTTTATATATCATATTTATAATAAGATTATTTTATTGAGTTTGGGTGGAGTTCAGGGTTCATATTTTCAAGCTGACAAGTTCATGCGTGTCAGGAGACAGCTAGTTAGTGAGCTACGCTTGTTCTTTATGTTGTTTGGGAGTTTAAGCTATATGAGACCCTTCAGGGTTTTTTGCCTATGTTTCTTTCAGTTCTTACCTAGACACGTTGCAAGTGACACATGGCATATGCCAATAATTGGCTTTAGCAGCTAAAGTTACGGACAGAAGATTTATTTTTAAGGGTGTTGGCATATTTGAAGTGTTGCCTATGTACTGTTCAAGGCAGTCCTAAGGTTGAGAATGGTTATTAGCTACACAAAAGAGACCAGCTGATAAAAACTGGTGCAAAATTACCCCAGTGTGTAATTGCATGTGTCAAGATTGCCCACACAGTCTTGGGGACACAGATAAGCATTTAGTTATGTGTGTTACATCATGGGGAGTAGTGAGACAGATGACTTCTGCAGTTCAGAGACGTGATGTATTTTGGTTTTAGACACACACAAGAATGTAGAGCTTGATCCTGTCACCACAGAAGAGCAGGTACTGGAAGTCAAAGGCTACCTGTCGAAAGTGAATGGCATTAGTGAAGTGCTGGCAAGGCGACACATGAAAGTTGCTTTTTTTGGCAGGTGAGTCACGTGCTTGCTGCCTACACTCCCCACTCAGTAAAGCAGCTGCCATCTTTAGAACTGTAACCAGGAAAAAGTATTTATAGAAACACTGATGCTCCAGCTTTTGCTTGTAATGGGCATGTCCCTGGTGCTAGTCCTCTTGTAAATTGGAAACAAATATAGCATGTAATTCTTCAACTTGAAAGTATGCTTCAAATAACAAAAGCTTTTTGTAAGCTGCCTCTGGCACTGAAATTATTAATGCTTGTGATAGTACTTGGGTTTAGGGAACTTTCTGTAACATCAAAATGAGTATACCCAAGTCTCAGAAGCCTAGCTCTACTGTTCTTTAATCTGACTTCAGGACAAGCAATGGGAAAAGCACTGTGATAAATGCCATGCTATGGGACAAGGTCCTTCCTTCAGGAATTGGACACACCACTAATTGTTTCCTGCGTGTAGAGGGGACAGATGGACATGAAGCTTTCCTGCTTACTGAAGGCTCAGAGGAAAAGAAAAATGTTAAGGTATGATTTCCTTAAGCATAAGGGAAAGGGGAAGAGCTCTTCAGAAGTGCCAGAAAAAGGAAAGAGCAAAAAAATTTAAAGCATTAAGAATAAGCTTCAAAGTTAAATTATTTAATCATTAAAGGAGTAGAGATGAAGAACAGGTTTTTGTTAGGTGCAGGAAGGGAGGAATGAAGCAAGTTACAGGGTGAAATGTTTTCATTTTGTGAGAAAGATGATCGGTTGTATTTGTAAGTGATAGCAGGGAACCAGAACGGTGACTCAGGAAGTTCTGAGCTGTGTATGACTGGCAGAGAGAGCACAAGACTTCCTGGTAATCCTGGTAGCCTTTCCTGACAGTAAACTCTCACTAGGCAGATGCCTTTTGATGAGGAAACTCAAGTGAGTTTTATGTGGAAAACCTCCCAAGGAGAAAGTGATTTAGAGTCGGGTTTTATCTGAAATTGTCTGTGAAGAGCCCTGAAGGGGAGGTAACTGTGTTAATGGGTCTTAGCATGCAGGAAATGTTATAAATGATCTATCTTTTTAATAGACAGTAAACCAGCTGGCTCATGCCCTTCATCAAGATGAACTTCTGAATGCTGGCAGCCTAGTCAGCGTAATGTGGCCCAATTCCAAATGTCCTCTCTTAAAGGATGACTTGGTGCTGATGGACAGGTGAGAAATATCTTTCTTTCCTTTCCTGCTTATCACATATTAATTACAAGAATGTCTTCAAATACTAATTTAACAAACATCAAGGAAATCAACCCTGTTCTGACAGGCTCTGACAGGGACTAAAGTTACTTGCCTGTAGTTAACAGTCAGAGTTTCTCTTGATTGGTATTGCCTTTTAGCCTGTACTGTTTGTGACCTCAGCACAGTGTAGCTCAAACATGGGAAATTAATGCCCTGAAAAGCTAAAACACATCTCCTAACCTTTCTAATTCTATTTTTTGCTGTTTCCACAGCATAGTAATCTCTCTTCTCTTTTTATTTCTAGCCCTGGCATTGATGTAACCACAGAGCTGGACAGTTGGATTGACAAATTCTGTCTAGATGCTGATGTATTTGTCCTGGTGGCAAATTCTGAATCAACATTGATGCAAACTGTATGTGCAAGTCCACTTGTTCAGTGAATTTGGCTAAAAGTTAAGAAAAAACATTGATGTATTAACTGAAGAGGTTTTGTTCCATTTTGCTTAGGAGAAACAGTTCTTTCACAAGGTGAATGAACGTCTGTCTCGACCCAATATATTTATTTTAAATAACCGCTGGGATGCATCTGCCTCTGAACCAGAATACATGGAAGAGGTTTGTGATGTGTTTAAATCCTTTCTGTTTGCATGGAGTCCGTTTTTTACTCTGGTCCTTGCGAGTAGAATCATAGTGTTGTATGTGGTTTACAGTTTGTATTTTTATTACCTTTGAGTGGCAACCAGAAGGAGTATAGACTAGTGATCAGGACTCTTAAATTCAGAGCTGGAAATCAAGAGTTTCACAGCAGCCTTTTGAAGTGGGATCACTTTGATAACCTCTGGAAGATTCCATCAAGCAGCAAAGATACTCCTTATTAGGAATAGCTTAGACCAGCAGAGGGCATCAGGGTGCGTGACCTGACCTTG